ACTATTCCCAACTCGCACAACTTAACCGAATCTCCCATTAAATTCTCGGGCGTCGCCCGACACCAATGCAAGGAGACTGAACCATCTCTGCATATGTCGCATGCAACAATTTTTCTTTCCCCCCTCCGCCGCCGTTCTCGCATCCTGCATGGCCGAGTTAGTATTGCTTACGGAGTGCGCTCCGTAGTGCCAGTAGTATCCTTTTCCGAGCTGGCTCCCCGGAAGGATCGGATCCGGGAGTACGAGTGGAAGGATTCTGTTTTTGTCATTTCCTCTGGTCTTTGGAAACCCCATCCAGACCGGGGAGAGGGTCATCGCTGCCTCGCGTTCGGAGTTTTAGATCGTGTGTGGATGGGCTGCAGTGGGCTGAGTCTTAGATCCTGCAATGGGTTTGCTGGCGCGGTAAGGTGGTGGGGGGCGACTATAGCTGCTAGGCTGCTAGGTTGCTAGGTTGTAATGTAAGTGCGCCGGTGGGATGATTTGCTTCGATTTATTCGTGTGTGTTGGATGCCTGTAGCAGCAATGGTGCCCACCGTGTCTTCTAGAAGAGCTGGCTGGGGCAATGAAGTCGTGTTTACTGTGGCGAAAAAGTCGAGCTTGTGTTTCTGCAGGTAGGAGATTCTCTGGCCTTTGCAGTAAGAGAAGCAACCAGACATCAAAAGTCTACAGTGGGCTGCTAGAGTCGCTGGCACAGGGGTTCTCGGGGAATCAAGCTGGACGCGTCGATGGAAAAGCACATGTCATCAACTGAGGGCCTGGGATTTGGCTGGATCACTCCATATGTACATGCATAGACCCAATTATCCTGTCCATTTCAAATACAAGGCAACCAAGATGTGGACTCTGTGATCGAGGCTGAGCCCACACTGCGGCCCCTTTCCGGTCTTTCAGGTTCGTATTGTTTAAGTTTGGCCTTGCGCGTAGTCGGCCGAGCGCCGACGGCAATGGCACGACGATCACCCCCACAGCTCGGGAACAGTGAAAGCCAACGTCATGACTGAGGAAGGAAACATGAAGAAAAGAAATTAGAATACAGAGAAAGTATTGGGTATCTGCTGGCAAACCAGAATTTCAAATTGCCCGCCAGAGGTAGGAAAATGCAAGGGTTAGACATTCATGACGAGTGAGCACAATTCAGAGAGAAAGAGAAGATAATGAGATCGGAATTAGATCATCAAAGGCGCTCCGCTATCCTGAAAGAATTTGATGAGACATCATATCTGATCCAAGACAGCTGAAAACCAGATCGGGAAGGAAGAGGGCCCGATAGCGCACCGGACGCGGGCGGCACAACATGTGAGAGGCGACCTAGGACGTACTCATGCATCAACAGACACGGTCGTCCCGGGGAAAGGAAAAGATGCGGATTCTCGGGGCTCAGGATCTGGCGACTCCGCCGCGTCGCCCTTCCCATTCGTTCGGTCAAATTCCAATGTTTCGGCTAGCTCAGCAGCCATGGGGTCGAGGTCTTCCTCCTTGAGACCAGTGGCGAGTGCCACCAACTTCCGATGGACATCGAACTTGGTGCTTACTCCCGCGTCAGCCGTCTGCTGAGCAAGGTCTTTGACAGCAGCGCGCCGAGCTTTCTGTGCTGAGCACAATTGTCGAGCCAGCTGGTAGGTGCGAAGCAGTTTATCGTGGTCTGTGGCGGGTGGCGTCGTACACTCCTGTGCTGCAGGCACTACTACCGATGATATGCGCTCTCTTAGGCGACTCTGCTGAATCTGCTCTAGCAGTGACTCATAGCCACTTCGCAACTGCTCATAGCGTTCAAGCTGAGCATCAATTGGCTGCTCACCAGCCTCCTGCGCTTGTAAGACAGCTGTTTCTTTCTGCACCTTCTGTCGATCCACCTCTAGTTGCTCGTACAGTGTTTCCGGGTTCGCAACGTCGTCAGAGTCCTGCCCGTTCGCTTTTGAGCTTCCGTAGCTTACGGTAAGTTTCTTATTTGCTTCAGCCATTATCACACCAATTTTGGATAGCAACGCGGTGGTGGCAGGAGCCGATGACTCTTGGGCAAGAGTGGCGGGCTGGGTGTCAACATTCATCGGCCCTGGCGCTTCGCCGTCCAACTGGTCATTGCCCATCGTGATAGATGACGGCGGAGGAGGAATGTCGCGTTCGGACGGATGCGCTCGTCGAGAAATGCTTGCAGCCGTCTCGCCCTTCTTGTTCACTAAGTCGCCAGCCCGTGGACACCGTGCAAGAAGCAAGTCCACCAAGCGGAAAGCGCCATTCCGAGCAGCCACTAAGGCCGCTGTGTCTCCATTAGAGTCCTGGAAGGACAACAAAAGATCGACTTCTTCCACCGAGCACATGAGGCGCAGCTTGTCTAGCAGCACATCACAATAGTACCGTGAGCTCTTCCATTTCCCCTTGCTCCGCGTAGTCTCTGCTATATGATGAAATATGGTAGCACCAAACCAGTCTCTGAATGAGACTGTATCCCAAAGTAAATCGAGAAGCGGAGGGAAGGTTCTCTTCTCGTAGTTATTCGTAAACAAAACAGCTCGCACAAGCGGGGTCTCTTCGTGTACCGATAATGCCTTCATATCTGCTCCTCTTCGTAAGAGATCTTTCACAATCTCCAGATCTCCCATAGCACAGGCCCAGTGAAGGGCCGTGTTACCGGAGTCGTCAATTGGGCGATCTACCTGGAAGTTGGATGGTGGCTGTGGAGGTGGTACACGTGTAGCCTCGGGCGCATCGCCTACTGTCATGAAGTAGTCCAAGAGCTGGTCCCCATAGAGTATGTGTTCCTGTTCGCTGATGGACATCACAGGCGCCTCGTTGATTCCACGCTTGCGTTTGCGAGAGAAGTTACCGTTCTGTGACATTGTCATCATCTCTTCATCCGCTATCATTGATGACGACTCAAGCGTCGCTTGTTCGATGGACTCGTTGTCGTCAAAGCCAGTGCTCATCTCGTACTGTTCGTGGGTAAAGGGGGGTGGCGCCATATTTCGGGCTGGTTTGATAGCACTGAAGACCTCCTCGTTCACAGTTCTCCGGTTGGCTGTGTTCTTCGGCGCCCTTGGTTTTGATGCGGTTGTGTGTTTCGGTGCTGGTGGAGGGCTACGATCTCCGGCAACATAGTCAAATATCGGCCTCAATTTGTCGATTATATTGTTGCGCTCGGCGAGGAGTCGACCTTCAGGGAGAGGTATCCATGTACCTACTAAAGTCAGAACCGATACGCCTCTCAAGAAACAGGGGTTATCAGTAAAGACCTTGGACAAGACGGACTTACCTTGATATTTGCCATATCCACCTTGCACTTTCTCATGGACACCCTTTTGTACCTCCCGCTCGAGAATCCTCGTTCTCGCTGGCTTGTCGAATCCGGCGACTTTGAGGATATGGGTTGCATTGATCCAGTCGTCCGACCGTCTTCGCATCACGCTTTCTCCATCGAGTTTCAGCTCGTAGACCGGTACCTAGTGACATGCATCAGCTGGGGGTTCTACCCCTTCGGTTGATCAAAATTGGTCCGTAAGTGATCCAATTGAAGAAGGCAGGGCGGATTTTGGAGATTCCTACTTACACTGCTATAGGTAGCAGAGTACACTTTCGAAAAGTCAACTCCCGCCATGATGTGCGTCCCCTCACGCTGTCCTGATTCAGTGAGGTCCCGTTCAGCAACAGCGACTGACACCGCCGCTCGGCAGCCGGACAACAACAAGGATCTCAGGTGTTTGTTCAATTATGGAAATGCATCAAGATCCGACGCTCGTTGATTGGCCGGGTTGATTCACATGAGCATGATTGGGAAAAGACCGAGGATGGCTTGTTAATGATTCTGCAGTATTGATCTCGAAACGCGAAGGTCTGGCTAGGCAAGACGCGCCCTGGGTACGTCGGACCGCGTAAAGTGGATTTAGCCAAGCTAATCCTTTTACGGACATGCTATCACGTGTCGTCACATGACGCTGCCGGCAAGGAAGGAACAACGACGACTACGGAATAGCTGCAAACCTCACGGTCCGGTCGCTTGTCCTCGAAACCCACCTTCATAACACCCTTTTCTCCTCTCAATATGACTGTTGCCGAGACAGTGAAGAGCGCCGTTGGGCTTTCGGGCAGCACTCGTAAGTTTATATTGCCATTGGCCTCCACTGCGTGGGGAAGCAACGCGGTGAATAACGTTGCTCATCGAAGTCATGACTGACACACTCTCTCAGCTGCCACCAGCCAGGAAATGTCGGATGCTCGCCTTCCTCTTCAGTACCGCGATTCTTGCGCTCACTTGCTAATCCCCTTGAACCGCTGCCGGCAGCAGGAGTACTATCTCCCGTGGAAGTGCGAGGTGCGTTGTTCTGATTCCGCCAATACTCCTTGCCTATCATCTGAATTATGGAAAAATGGATCTGACATCTGCATCGCAAATTGCAGGATGAGCGACACAGCTACGAGAAGTGCCAGTACGAGGAGTTCAAGAAGCGCGTCGCCAAGATGGAAGAGCTCCGGGCCGCAAAGGATGGTGCCCGCAGCAATTGATACCGGAATTTTCGACATCCTCTTATTCGCGACGGACGAAGCAGCATGTTATGTACATAGAGATTGTGAGATTGTTTGTCCATGTACCGACTTTGGCGTTGGGATTCCATCGAGTCGATCCTGTCGATACCATATTTTGAGAGCCAGGGTCAATAAACCCATAAAAGGCCTCAGTAGCTGGTCACCTCTCTCCAGTGTCTTTTGGGAGAACCGCGCAGCTTGACGTGCGCCTACTCTCGGGCAATATAGCATGATTAAGACAGGCAGTTCTGCCCTGGCCGGGAGCCGTTTTGAGCATGTCAGCCTGCTAAAAAGCGAGTCAAGATTGAGACAGCATCAGTTGATTCTGGCACAGGAGCTTCAGTTTCTTTTCTGGAGCACCTTAGCCTAATTGCAAATCAAGTTAAAATGATCATAACAAGCTCCCGCTTTACATAGTCAATCATGTGCGGAGATGCCATGGTCTGGGTGTGTATTTAAGTAGCGCAGTAGAAAGAGGTATCTTGTATAAGCCATTCGACTCATGTTTCTCTCGCTATGCTGGAAGAGAGATGGCATAGCGATAGCTGGATAATGGCTCTGTATAGCGCTGCAGCGCAACTGATGACGGGAAAGTCACCTGACCGGGCGCCCTTCCTCCACGCTGCTTAGAAATCGACGTGGGTGACAATCACCGATAATGCTTTTCCTGCCCCGCTATGAACGGAGAGACGTTTTGTCCCCGCCAATAGGCGATTGAGCCTGGAACCCCGAAGGTTCGACACGAAAATCAGCATCAAGTCGATAAGAAGGAGCACGATCCGTCTGTTTCCACTCTTTCTCTGGCATCTTTTGATCCTGCTTGGGGATCCAGGATCTTGGTCTATATCACCTGTGCCTTGAGTCGGGCCATTGCGTGCTACTGACGTGACTCGATCGGGTCCTAGATCGGAGTCTAATAATTGTCTGTGGAAACTGGAAGTTTCCCCTCATCTCCGCGGGGTTTTTGTATGGACTGATTTTCCCGTCGTCTCACCCCACCACCTCTGTGCCGCGACCCAACGGTCAAGTCTCTCTCTCGGAAAATTCGCGCGCCTTCCTGCCGATATTCCTGATCAGCGACAGAATGGGCTTGCTGTATGTGATGACTGCCGAGTGAAAGCCAGATGATTTGAGCGCGCCAGAGACTAACTTGCGTTCCTCCAGCGCGCTTGGAACGGCCCTGGATTGGCCGGAGGCCAAGAAAAGAGCAGACCAGGTTCGCAAATGGGGAATTGAGGTGAGTATTTCGCCATTGGGTCCATTTGGCATATGTCACAGCCAGAAATGTATTGACCAAAGACAGCAATTACTTGCGAATTGGCACAGAGCCAAGGGCAAGGAGCGCAATGCTCTGCTTTGGGGCGATGAGGTAAGATTTTACCCCGCAGAATCCCATTCCCTTGTGCTAATCGATCTCGATTTATCAGGTTGAGTACCTTGTTGTAGCCGTCGATGATGAAGCGAAGAAGGCCCGCCTTTCACTCGCACAGGCGGAGATTCTCAAGTCACTTGCGGAAGACGAAGCATCATGGAAGCAGGGAACTCGACCTCAGTCCCCGAACGATGAACAGTGAGATTTGTTGGCAAGAACAAATTGAGGACATTTCTGATGGGTTGCAGTGACGGGGAAGAGCCACCTCACTTCCATCCGGAATTTGGCCGCTTCATGCTTGAAGCAACGCCGGGTAAACCCTGGGGAATCGATTTCAAGGACCTGCTGAAGGTCGAGTCAAACATGAAATGGAGGTCCGTACCCAATCACTGGATTCGATATCAGCTTGTGACCTCTAACATCATCACCACAGACGCGAGGCTGCCAAAGCCCACATGGCACCGAATGAACATCCCATCACCCTTACGACATTTCCTCGCCTGGGTACCAAGGATGACTATATCCAGCCCTATTATCCACCGTCTGGTCCTGCGCTCCGGTCCCAGTTTGTGCCCGACGAGATCGCCAATCCGCACATCAGGTTTCCGACCCTGGCTGCTAACATCCGGTCAAGGAGAGGTCGCAAGGTTGAGCTGAACGTCCCGGTATATAAAGACACGAATACGCCCGAACCATTTAAAGACCCAACTGTGGATTATGATCTTCATATCTGGCCTGAGGATGATGATGTTAGAAACGGAGCAGCCAAGGACGATCATGTGTACATGGATGCCATGGCCTTTGGTATGGGCAGTTGCTGTCTGCAAATCACTTTCCAAGCCAAGAATATGACCGAAGGGAGGAAGTTGTACGACCAGTTGAGTCCACTGGGACCTATTTTGCTGGCCTTGACCGCTGCTACGCCGATTTACAAGGGCTTCCTTGTTGACACGGATGTACGCTGGAATCAGATTAGTGGGGCTGTTGATGACCGTACTCGTGAAGAGCTTGGCGAACTTGTACGCTTGCCCTGTCCCGCTGCTAATGCCATTCGCTAACATCTCACAGCCCTTGAAAAATGATAGATGGAGGATCCCTAAATCCCGATATGCCTCAAACTCGACCTATATTTCACAAGACCCCCGGTTGCGAAAGGAATATTTGGACCCTGACTTGATCGTTGACGAGGATATCAAGAAGCGTCTGATGGAGGACGGAATGGATGATCTTCTAGCCACACATTTTGCACATCTCTTCATTCGTGATCCTTTGGTCATCTTCTCGGAAGATCTTGAAGAACTCGACTTGAACAAAGCGGATCACTTCGAGAATTTGCAGTCCACAAACTGGCAGCATATGCGGTTCAAACCCCCACCACCTGACAAGGATGACATTGGTTGGCGGGTCGAGTTCCGTTCCATGGAGATCCAGATGACCGACTTTGAGAACGCTGCATTCAGCATTTTCATTGTACTTGTGACCCGCGCGATCTTGACTTACGATCTAAACTTCTATATCCCGATTCAGCGCACGACAGAGAACATGGAGACCGCACATGCACGCAACGCGGTTCACGACCGGAAATTCTACTTCCGCAAAGACCCATTCTCCCCTCGCCGCCCGAATCCTCATTCATCCAGTGGAAGCAACGTCTCTTCCACCACGTCATCCGCTGCCAACTCCCCGCCTCCATCGCCATCCCTTACCCCCGTGGAGTCGGAGTACGAACTCATGACTATATCTGATATCATCAACGGTTCTTCCGATGGCTCTTTCCCTGGACTGATCCCACTTGTCGAATCATACCTGAACAGTGTCAATGTGGATGTTGAGACTCGCTGCTCATTGGCCAGCTACCTTGACTTGATACGCAAACGTGCGAACGGAACTCTCTGGACGGGCGCCAAGTGGATCCGCGAGTTCGTTGCGTCGCACCCGGACTACAAGCAAGACAGTGTCGTTTCGGAGCGGATTTGCTATGACCTTGTCAAGGCCGTGGATGAGATGAGCGTGCATGAGGGGAGGAATGGTACCGTTGGGTGGGAACTTCTCAAGGGTAAGAATACTTGAACAGATGTTGTAAATAAATTCGCATATAGATGTAGATAGCTTGTCTATTTTCTACTGTCACTTATTGTTGAGTACTACATATACTGTCAGTCGTGTTGCGTAATATTACAGGAGACTTGGTTTGCTCAATTGATTTGCCCTTGTGGTTAAACATCATCATTAAATGGGAGGTTGATTGGATGTTCTTGATTTTGTGTGAAACCCTCCACCATATGAGAAGGGGTTGGCTGCGAGCCTCTTGAGTCTGAGACAACTTGAAACCATGCAATTCCCAGACAAGCAACTTCCCCCCTTTCAGTCTTTTCTCTCAATCGGACGGGCCCTTCGCGTCTCAGTACTTTCCCGCTATCCTCGAATGCCGCCCGTTCAAGGCAGCCAGATCTTTTCCTCCTCAGTCGGTTCTCGACACGAATCAGCCACTCCAGTCACCTTCCATGTATTGCTGACTTTGTGAAGTATGAAGAGCTCAACGCCGACATGATGCACAGCACCGTTGACCTTTGCCCGGAAAGGGGCCCAGACGGCGGCCAGGCTACCCGAAGGATACACTTTCACTTCAGGGTCCCAGATACGCTCATCGATCTCATCCTCGATCTTGACCACCTGTTCAACGAAGGTTCCAATCGTACAGAAGCGAGGGAGGGTCGGTGACGGTGGCCAGAGGGACATTCCTCCCGCTCGCACGCAGTATTTGTCGAACTCGGCGGAACTCTTCGTCCTGAGCGCACCCAGAAACCCGTTGATGACGGCTAAGATGGATTCAATTTCTTCCGAATGTTGAGAGAATGCCGATAGCACATGGAACGTGGTAGAGGGATCCCAAAGCATAATTTCAGATGTCATATCAAAACGAAACAAGCGCCGTCGAAACATGCCAGTGCTTGCAGGACGCTAGCTTCCATCTCCCTTAATGGTTGTCAACTCAACATAACTTATATGGAGGGGGTGCTTTGCTCACTGTCACGGGCCTCGGTGACGTACCTTGACTTGGTGTCGCTGTGCCAGGAACGTTACCTTGGGCCTGTCATAGGAAAGACAGCACATGCACTTTCCCGACTTTGTAGACACTGAAGCCGGTCGGCATTGAGTTTTTTGGCCTACCCTTATCGTCTGGTCAGACGGACTGCCTGATTCTGAATCAATGCCGATGTTTTCAGTTCATGAGGAGCTACAGTCACAGCAACTCTCCATCAAGCTGCAGAATCGAGTGCTGACTGTTTCAGGGGCGTAGCTCCTGGGGTTACTGTTGCAGTCATGAGAACGCTCTCGCTTCTCCTCAAACTTCTCTACTCCGCACTGAATCAATCGGGGTCCATCTCCAGGACAAGTTGAATGCTGTGAAGCGCCCCCAAAATTACGATCGTCTGGCACGTCTCACAGAGCTCTTGCCATGTCCGACCACGGCGAAGGTTCGAGCGCAGTAGCAGTCAAGGAATCGAGGGTCAGATCGTTTGACGTGAGCACTGTGAGACACTAAAGCTCCAGCCATTGTTAGTCAGGGAAGCTGCATATGTTTCGGTGGCTATGACGTGCTACAGCGTGTGACTCTGGCTTTTTCAACATTGAATGGTAAGAACTAATTGGCCGGCCGTGCAACGGCAGATTCACGGCCAAGGAGTCCAGTCGGAGGAAGTTTCACGAGTGAAGAACGGATTTCCTTGCCTGAATTGGTCCTGGTACGTCTTGGCTACTGTGTGGCTCGAAGGATTTTCTTGACTTCGAAGTAGGGGCTGCTTGTGCAATATGACTGCTGAGGGGTCCTTGCGAATCCTCGGAACATAGCCGGCAGACGGCTGTTAAGCCCTAAGCATGCAAGAACCTGCAGACAGGCCGGCATGGCGGTCAGAAGCCCACACTTCTTTCTCTCTCACTGTCTCATATTCTAAAGATTGTTCATATTTACCGTTCTGTGCCAGGTCTGCGTTGTTTTGCTCCTCTTGCAGCTTCGGTTTACATGTTCTCCGAGGACACCAACTCTAGGCGGGCGTTGTTGTCGAACGATACTTCGGAACGGGACCCGGCTATGACATTTTGCCCGAATAGCCTTAATAGCATCACGCTATTATCCCGTTTGCGGGGACATGAACGGCATATATCTTCCCCGCCAAGTTTTCAACCTCGGGGATACCTCGGGTCAAGCAAAACTCGAGCAGAATGCGGGCACCTGTACGAATCAGGGTATAGAGACGAGGTGCTTTCACCGATCTCTGCATGACTCGCTCTCACCAATCTATCCCATGACCCCAATGCTCCGCATTTTGGCCGGCGGCGCAACCTGATTTGGAAACACTCCCCCCTGTTGACGGTGAGATCTGGAGTACTTCCCCACATCCCGCGACTAATCTGAACCCGGGGTTGATGATGCAACGTTTTGACCTGATGCCGGGTTTTGCGCCAGGCCCCCTTATGCCGTGAAGATCCAGGTATAAATGCTGCAGAGCAGCGTCGTCTAGCGTCGTCGGAGTATGGTGCAGCAGCTTTAGAGTCATTTTTAATCTTATAACTCTCTGCAAGATGCGCAGGGCATTCGTTTGCCTGCTCGGTCTCTCTGCCAGTGGCATTGTCGCTTCGGCTGATACATCTCAGCCTACAGCTCATGTTCGCAATGGTACATATGTCGGAGTGAGAAACACCGATTATGAGCAAGACTTCTTCCTTGGTATACCTTATGCGCAACAGCCCGTTGGCGACTTGCGATTCAGGGTTCCAAAGTCCCTCAATGGAAGCTGGGATGGTGAGCGTGAGGCGAAGGCATACTCAGACATCTGTGTAGGATATGGGGTATGCCACTATACTGCCTTCACCGGCTTCATATGATATAAGCTGACTTTAGTACATTAGACGGATTCTATATGGTACAATCAGTCCGAAGCATGTCTCACCCTCAATGTCATCCGCGATTCCTCTTTCAACGAAAGCTCAAGCCTCCCAGTAGGAGTCTGGATCCATGGAGGTGGCTTCACAGAAGGATCAAGTGCGGATCAGCGCTATAATATGTCTGCAATTGTTGCCAATGCTCAAAAGATTGGTATGTCGCCCTTGAGCGATTGTTATGGCCATTATTGACATGTCTTGGCACGCACAGGCAAACCATTCCTGGCCGTGTCGCTCAACTACCGGCTCACGACCTGGGGTTTCATAAGCTCTAGCGAGGTCAGCGGCACAGGTAACACCAACCTCGGCCTTAGGGATCAGAGATTGGCACTTCACTGGATCAAGGAGAACATTGCTGCATTCGGTGGTGATCCGGCAAAGATCACTATCTGGGGCGAGTCGGCGGGAGCAATGTCTGTTGGATATCACCTGGCAGCCTACGGGGGTAGGGACGACAGCCTCTTCCGTGCAGCAATCATGGAGTCCGGGGGAACCATTGCCGCCGGACCTTCTAACTACACCGGCTATCAGGCCCTCTACGACGACCTCGTGGCCAAGGTCAACTGCTCCGACGTGGTGGACTCATTGCAATGCCTGCGCGAGGTTCCATTTGAGAAGTTGAATAGCGTCCTCAATGGAACCGATGGGCAATCGAACTACCCTTTCTCACCTGTCATCGATGGTGATTTGATTCCGACCTGGGGCAGTCTCCAGCTTGACCGCCATGAATTCGTTCAGGTTCCTATAATTGCCGGCACCAATACTGACGAAGGAACCGCGTTCGGGCCCACCGGGGTCAATACGACGCAGGAATTCTATGCATATCTTACCGGTACGTATGCCCTGCTCTATGAATTACAATGGACTAAGTTGCCACAGATGGTCAGGATGGCTTCCAGCTACCTCCGTCCATCGCCAAGCATATCCTGCAGGTCTACCCCGATAATCCCTCCTTGGGTATCCCCGAGTTCCTTGGCTCGAGACGAGTCGCATCCAAGGGTTACCAGTGGCGACGCACGTCCGCGTATGCAGGGGACGTGAAGATGCACGCGAACCGGCGACGACAATGCGAGGCGTGGACGGCGACCAACACCACGGCCTACTGCTACCGCTTCAATGTGCGGTCCGCGGACGTCACACCCTTGTCGGGAGCCACGCACTTCGAGGAAGTGGCCTTTGTCTTCAACAACATCGCCGGCCTTGGGTACCACTACGGGCTTCCGTTCGCGGGGGTGCCCGAGTCGTACGTGCAACTGAGCCAGCTGATGACCAGCATGTGGGCATCTTTCATCCACGACCTGGACCCCAATTCGGGCATCAAGAACGAGTCGGCGGTCCGGTGGCAGGCCTACGGGCAGGGTCGGCCGGTCGATCTGGTCTTCAATGCCAATACCACAAGCTATATGGAGCCGGACACGTGGCGAAAAGAGGGGATTGACTATATCAACTCCGTGGCGAGTGCGTACTGGCGATAGGATGGCCTATTTTTCCCTGTTCGACCCATCAAGCAAGTCGCTGCTGCTAACGAGTTGGATATACATGTGAAAGCGAGAGATGCGCGAATCTGTGGTTTTGAGTTGGCCGCAGATGCAGCTTACGATATGGATCTGTAAAGTCAGAGAGTAAAGCAAACAAAGAATGGCCGAGTATGTGCGTGGTTCGAATTGGGGTGCTCATGTGTTTTCTACGTACGTAAAGAGGAGGGGAGCCAGTCACGGTCTTCGGCGCCTCATGCACCCAGCCATGCCTGTAGATCTGAACACCCTCTACTCCGTAGGACAGAGTTACTCCGCTTTGAGTGAGGCCCCGAGCGTAAGCATTACCAAGCAAGATTACCTTCTCATCTCATCCGTGGAAAGAAAGCCCTCCGGTCTGCTCTGTCTTCGTATCTTCGAACAAAAGAAAAATTAGGAAATCTTCCACTATCCCCACGAAACCAAACCATGTATGTATAGAAGAAGCCCCAGTCAGAGACAAATAAAAGCCACCAATACGGAGTACAGTGACATCCTCAGTACCTTACAACGAAAATGGGAGGCCAAGAAGAGGATGGACCCGACCCAGCCAGTGTACTAGTAGTGCACAATCTCAACAAAGTTCCACCGGCTCCGATTCATCTCGTCCTGATCTGACTTCCGAATATTTTCTCTTCATCATGTATACGAACCCAAGGAACCCGCTATGCCTGTTTCCATTGTCAGTGCAAACGGGACGAACAATGGAAGGGGAAAGAAAGCCTCTGCAATCCTGGAAGATCGGATAGCGGATCCATCCCCATTGTTTGATTAGGTTTTGCATCGGCGAGACTTGGGACGGTCTGACCACGATGGAATGGGTAGTGAGTGGTCTGACCGTGGGAAGTAGAGATACAGTCAGAAAAAAAGCCAAGACTATGTACAGTAGTTACAACTAGCCAAGTACTCGGTGCAGTCCTTTCCGATTGTTGTTTCTTCGCCACTGTAGTGTAAGTTAGTCAACGATCGACCGGCCTTGCGTCCTGTCCAGGGAATGATCGGAGGGTTTTTCTTTGATCGAATCATTTGTCGAGAGATTTTTCCTGGCCATGCTCATGGAGTACTACATATAGAACTAGGTATCTCTGCAAAAGAGATACCTAGTCATGGTGGGAAACGCTTCGCCGGGAAATGAAACATCCGATTTCATTGCGATTAATTCCCTCCTTTGCCCAAAGAGTGAGTACACGAGGGGAGGGGGCAAGGGGAGAGCGGGTGGTTGAGATGGTCTTAGCCTAAACAGACCAGACCAGCACAGATCCAAGTGTTGTTTAGATTTCGACGTTGAGATTTGGGAAAGAGGGGGGGTGGTGGTGGGAGAGGGGGTAAGGGAGGGGAAAAGTGGGTGAGTGAGGGAGGGGCAGAGAGGCCAGTGCAAATGTTCCCCCCGGTAGGTGGCTGTCAAAACTGTCATATCATTTTCCCTTTCTGGGAAGCGGACACAAACGGGTACTGAGCTGAGGCACGCCCTCGTCCGAGTTTGGTTTGAGCATTGCTTCTTGTCCACGATATTCGCCTCTCCTGACTGGACTGGACAAGTACTCCTGTAATATTGGATTGAAGTAGGAGTCGACTTAACCACTGGCTGGATCCTTGAATATGTCTATACACTGAACAACACACAGACGGTGGTGGATCGCGGTAGCGGCGAAAGATAAACCGAGTACCTACTTTTGATTGCCTGCCTTCTTCCCACTCACTCCGCATGTTCATCTCTGACGATCCTCTTCCTGCAC